CCCTGTAATGGATTCTCAGTGCACCATCGTATCAGCATGTCTGCTGATATGTTTATAATGATCTAAAGAAAAGACAGCCAACTTATTTTAAAACAAGAACAATTTTTTTTTTAAATGGGCTCTAGCAATAAATGCAATCACCATTAGAATTAAGAAGCCAAAGCTCTTGGGGGCAGGGACTGACTTTTTGTTCTGTATTTGAACAGTGCCTAGCACAGTCGGGTCCAGATTCATGACTGGGGCCCCTTAGTGCTACTGCAATTCAAATAACTAATATTAATAATAATACAGACCTTGTCCACGCTGAAGATGGAACTGTGCTAGCCTGGCTGTTTCTGGCATCTCTCTAAAATTTCACAACAGCACGAGGGATTTCGATTCTGTTCCACCACCGTGAAAAACATGTTACCCAAACTGTTCTATTGATACTCTCTACTCCCCTAACAATCAGGTAGCCTGCCAAAGTTTTATCTTTGATCTCATAATTATCATAGACGCTGTGACCAAGTCCATTCACCTGCAAATCCAGAACCTTATTCCCTTGATAAAGGATCTACCAGACATTAAAACCAATATAAAATTAATCTTAGCCATTTTTTAATTTCAGCATATCACCAGTAAAAGAGAGAGAAAATAAAAGCCACTTAAACATCTTTCCAAATATTTTTCTATCACAAAGGTGACTTTATATCTCTGGTGGTCTCATTAACAGCTTCAATATGTAATAGGAGACATCACTACACAAGTGTCTGGAAGATGGAAGAAGAAAACTCATGACAGCTCCACAGAGCTAATAAAATGGCTCATTTCTATTTCTTTCCTTCCCAGATGGGATCTATTTAATTAACATCTACACAAATAACACTTCTTCTCTGTTTACTATGGACTGGACAGCTCACAAATAGTCTTCCAAATCCCTCTAGTCATTGCATGGTAACCTCTGTATAGTCTCCTTAGCCATTCAATATACACTTGTTCTCAAGAGAGTTCAGGAGATAGAGCTGGGCTGTATTAAAAGCGGCCCAATTATACATTTATGCTGTGTTTATTGTTGTCCCACAAACAAGGTGACTGGTTGCATGAAGACTCCAATAGAAGATGGCATACGTGGGCGCTAGAGAGCTCAGGGGATCGATAATTGGAGAAAAAGCTTCCATTTAAAGTCACTGTTTCAAATCTGGCCTGGTTCTATACTGGCGTAGCATAAATCTAGTTCCCAGCAGATAGTTATCCATATCCCCAGTGTAGAAGCGCTGGCAATGCTGTAGTTGCACTGGCACTCGAAACACTGACCAGATTAGCTGCCCTCCATCCTCACTCTCAACATTTGCTCCAGAATTATTTGTACTGGTGACAAACAGAGGCGAGGTGACAAAATCCACGATAATACTAATTTAGGAGGAGCCGCACATACCAGTGAGGATGCAGAAGTAATACCAAGAAAGCTAGCAAGTCAAACATCAGGAGAAAAATAAAATCATATTCATCTTGGTAAAATGCAAGTTTAAATAGCTGGGAAAAAATAATCCAAAGCCATTATATTCAATGTGAAGAAGAAACTTGGAAGAGTGAGATGTATTAGGTTGTGGAATAGTCTCCTGTGTGAAGCAGGGAGTATTTCCTTGGGACGATTAGAACCGGACTGGAGAAGGCACTAGATTATGCTATAGCAGACAACCCTGCATTAGTAGGGGGATAAACTGAATGGCCTTTGAGGTCTTTTAAATTAATAACTTCTATGACTGAAAGGAGATGTTGCAGCAGCTGGTATAAAGGATTCAGACCCCACTCCACACACTTGTCAATGTCACCTCATTATACATTGCTCCAAATATGAGGTCTTTCTTCTTTTTATACCGCTCCTATTACTGAGGCACTACGCCATATTCCTCCCTCTCCCCAGGTTTTAGAACCAAATTGTTTATTTTATTTATTTTTAGGGCTTGCTGTCATGGGTGGGACAATGGTGGAAAGGATGAAATGCTGCCAGAGCAAGTGCTATCATCACTGTGAAGACAAAGTAGACCTGGCCTTTGGATATCACAAGGATACCGTTCTGCCAGTGCTCTGCAAGCAGTGTATATAGACCTACATCTTTGTTAGGATACGGACAGCCAGCATGTGCACATGGTTTATTTCAGCACTAAACGAGAGTCCCATGCTACCCAGGAAATACACCTCCCAAATAGTGTGGCACAATTACAAAATGCAGCAATATCTAAGTCATCTTTGAGACAAGAAAGGAAATAGTTTAGGATTCAGGGATTGTTAAGAATAATGGATTTAATATCGGCCAAGACCAAGCTTGGAATCCAGAGGCAACTATTTCCTTCAGAGTTTCTCCTGACTGACTGCTAGGCATTTTACTAAAGATTTCTCTTGTGCAACTGCCTGACTAAAATACAGCACACCCTTACCATAAAGCCCTTTGTTACAACATCTTTGCTATAAAGCTGTAAAACCTTGGCTCCCAAGTACATTAAATCCTTATAAACCTGCCTTCATTTTAACCGTGCAATATTTCAACACACAAAGCGTTTCTTCTGAAAGATAGCACTTTAATGAGGAGAGGGGTAAAATATATAAACCAAACCTCATTATAGCCTAATTTCTGGGAGATAAGCAAGCTGTTATAAAACGAAGCCATGGCAATCGCATTTCATACGTCTTGACGGTTTAACTCTCTTAAAGAGCCCTGGCCACATTGAGGATGAGGGTTTTTTGTTTTTTTTTAATGTATTGGGCCACAACCAGAATTTCGGCTCGGCTGTCAGCTACATATTATGTGTTTTGTATACGGTCACAAATTGTGATGTCAAACTCTACTGAAGCTTAACAAAATGACCTGTCCACTGGAAGTTAGGAGGCTGATTACAAGTTATTATAGACACACATACCCTTAAGCCTTGTCTACCTGCGGCTTTAACTATGCTGGTACAGTTAAAGTGGCAACTCCCCGCCCCCCCCAGTATATACACAATTATATCAGTATAAAAGGTCAGTGAAGTAAAATAAACTTTGTCAGGTATAAAGTGCCCTTATACCAGTATAACTGTGTCTATGCTAGGGCTTTTACTGGCATAACTATATTGGCTAAAACTAACCCCCTCAAATCACACACTTTGTTGACAATACTTATACCAGTAACATTTTTAAAGTTTTAGGCCTTAGACTGTGAGCTTCTCCAGCCAGAGACTGTCTCTTCTAGAATGTCTGGATTGTGCCTAGCACATGGATTCTCAATGTGAGGCTCATAAACAGGTGTTAAGGAATATGACCATCCTGCCCTTTTCTTATTGCTAAGTGGAAGGAGATGGAGGAGGGAGTGCCAATGTGAGAAAGGTTGAACATACTGCGAGTGCTACCACGGTCCAATACATAATAATAAATATCTAGGCATTTGAATATTAGACAGCTGTGCTAATTATATACACACCCCTCCATCTTGATAACCAACAAGAATGGTGAAAAGACAGAAAAAAAGTCTACGACCTTTTAAAAATGGGTTTCTGGCATATTAGGATGGTTATAAAAATGTTTACTGAATGTGGAAGGTTTGTTTTTTTTTAAAATAGGAAAAGTCAATTATTTTCCATAAAACATCAAAAAGAAAAAAACGACTGAGCAAGCAAACATAATAGGACAAAATCTTCTTTCAGAGAATGAGCTATTTGCCTACCACAAAGAACACCATGAACTAGAATGGTTTAAAGGACTCCAACCTTTTTGCAGTCTTAATTTAATCAAGAAACCATCATTGATTATAATTCTTCTAGCCCAGCCTGCTGGCTCTCACGGCTGAAAAGAAAGCTTAGCAATGATTAGGTATTTACTACAATCGATAAAGAAAATAGTGAAAGATTAGTGTAAAGGTAACTGGAGAGGAGAATGGCTTAAAAAAAAAACCACACAGCCAGGAAAGGCACTTCATTCCGTCTTTGATTTGCAAAGTCCATTTATCATCAGAAAATGGGAACGTTAGTTGAGGCACAGTCAGAAAATTAAACCAAACAAACAATGAAACCCATGAGGTTCTTTTGCTCCTGGATGTTCTGTTTTGGACAGTAATGTAGGAGGATCAGAATTTCGGCAAAGGATAGTCTTGGCTGATATCACATGATCTGGGTCAACAGCAGGGTGAAACCCTGCCACTGTTACTATAACCAGGTTAAGATAATTATTTCCCCTTATCTCCTTGCTATAGCTCATAATAAATGAAATTCTGGACTGAAGGGAACATATTTTTCCTGACTGATCATTAATACAGGTTTCAGCACTAAATACACAGCTCTCTCTACTGTAACAGACAAGTTTTTGCAATTGCAGATTTTAGAGAAGACCTCCTAGGGGGACATAAGACCCCCAATACTCGAGCTATAGAATTAGAAGCAATAACCTGGCTTTGAATCCAGTCCCCATATACTTTCCCATCTTCAAATTTTACTGACAAGATTATCTCTTCAAAGCCTACAGTGAAGGAACAAGAGATTTTTTCCCCCTTAAGTCACACAAGACTTATCCAGCTCATAATGACATTGCCACAGGAAAAGACTGTGGGTTGGACAAGTTTGAATCAGTCTGTCAGTGAAACTGACAAAAAAAAATCACAGAAAGCCTAGTGTTAAAGTACACTAGCATGTGTCTTCTATTAACTCAACGTTTCTGTTTACTTTCATAAAATTTTCCCCTTAACCATACAATTAAATTGGTAAAAACTATTATTGGGTGCAGACACCACTTCATTTTACAGCATTCCATTTTCGTTTGTTAATGACGGAGAAATTGGGGTTTTGGAAGGCTGACCTGGGGCACGTGACAAGCCTGTAACAAGGCCCTGAGCTAACAAGTTAGCCTTTAGCTGCCATGGACCTGTCAACAGAGCACTGGCTTGGAGACAGACAGAAAGAAAGAGCAAAAGACAGAGAAAAAGACCAATTCAGCTGAGAAAAACAAGCTAAATCAGTCCCAAGTGCTCATGTTGGAGAGACTTGATCTCATACCTTGCTTGTTATCAAGCCACTCCTGATACGAGGCAGCTCCAGTTCCGTTGAGGTCTACAGACAAAACAAAAAGTTTCATTCATATCAAACACAAATAGTAGAAACCTTGTTTAAATGGCAACCTTCCTGGAGCAGTATATTATCTGTGCATGGCCCTAGTGGTTTAAATAGGCAGTGCTGTTTCGCATCAACCCAGGATGGCGAGTTTCTTTGTCCTTAGGAGTAAGTGCACGGCACTGTTCCTCCAACTCTGCCCATCTGGTTCCATGCTGGTGAGGGGCTAGGGGATGGAAATACTGAAGGAGAGAAGAGGGGTAGGGAAATGCCATACTGGGTAGGTTCCCCAACCAAAGGAACACTGGCATACAAAATTTGTACAGAGTGTCCCTTTAAGGCCCACAAACATAATAAATCAGTGGTTCTCAAACAGTGGTCTGGAGAACACTTGCTTATAGTTTGTGGAAAGATGGCTGGTCCCAGGGTGCTGACTCTCCTTTTGGTTTCTAGCCACTGTGTCACATTAAAGAAACTAAAAATACATTACCATATTTTCCTAACATTACTTTTCCCCATAAGCAATTGCTGTAGTTGCCAAAGACGTTATTTGATCATCAGTGGGAGGGGAGATGGTCCATGAGACACTTACTCTATTAAGAGCTGCCTCACACAATGAAAAAAAATGGTGGAATCTCTGTTATTAACTGTAGTAACAACCAATCTTTAGAACCTTGCTAATAATGATTATTTCAAAGGCGCTCCTATATCAGCATGCAAAGTGACAGAACCCCTGTATACATGGGGATTTTGACTATATTTAATAACATAGTTTAAACTCCTTTATAGCAGAACCAGGTTCCAACATGGCTTGGACATAGTGTGAACAGATTCAAGTAGGGTTAATAAACCCGATATGTTTTTCCACCTGGACATAAAATTGTTTGGCATTCACGCCAGCAATCTAAACCATATTATAATCCAATTCAGCCACAATATAGTTTGGATAGTCCTTAAAGCAAGGTTGTAAAACACACCCCAAAAACCTGTGTAAATTAAGGCTTTTTTGAGGCCTGTATGCACTGGACACCTAGTTACTAAATATAGGTAGTAACGAGGTTGAGTCCAGACATGGTGCACAGCAGGATTCCTCACAGTGTGAATGCTCCATGTTTAAACCTTGCTCATGAGCAGGACTGTAACATGATTATCAGGCTGTAGCTGGGATTTAACTCAGCTCTACTGTGCAAATGGGGCCATCTAAGCATGTCAATTGTCTCAACCTGGTTACACTTAATGTGGCTCTCGCTGCATTGGTGACAGGACCTCCACTAGCATAGTTTTAACTGTAGTTATTAAATGATTGCATACATAGGATTTGACGTTAACACCCCATTCATCCCTACTATTTCAGTCTAGTTGTCAGTAGATACACAAGACAGCAGTGGGCAAATCTGTTTATGAAGACAACCTTCACCGTGCAGAAGGAATAGGAGGGCTGCGCTCCTAGACAATGATTCCCAAACATCAATTACATTTCTGTCCCTACAAAATTGGAACAGCTCCTTAAAAACATAACGCTCTGCTATTCCTTGTGTGTATTGCAAGTGCAATTCCACAAAAGCTGGCCTTGTATCTTTGCTTAGCAAACAGCTGGCAATGGCTCCTGGCGCGCACACAGAGATTCAGACTGGATTTATAAGGTTTCACATTCAGCAATACTATTTAATGAACAAAAAGGAAAAATTTAAAGTTGCCCCAATGTTTATGTTGTGTAAATCTGAGATAATAGATCTTCTCCCTAATCCTAATGAGGTCTTCCCATTAAAATCTTTATTAGCTTCTAGCTCAGCATATTGCCAAAAGGCTCGTCACAGTTTCCCTATCGCTCAGTACCAAGATCTGCTTTAACTTTTACAAATAGCTCTGAGATATTTCCCAGCTTATCAGCATTGCCAAGCAGGCTGTCTTATCATTACTATTGCAGATAAAATAAATGAGCTCGGGATGATATGAATAATGGCATTTTCTGTAGGCTGGTTTCCCATTACATTTTCAACAGATTGTAGATTTAAACTTGAGCACACAAAAAAAGGAGAGGGAGAGGATTTATTTTAAAATTTACCTTTGTTGCCTTAGTGTCTAGCATGTATTTTTAAGCTCACATGAAAAGAGCAGGCAATTAATTTTGAAAGGAACTAGAAAAGCCTCAATTCTCCTTCTCTGAAAATCCCCAAATGCACAATTACTTCTGGGACGTTTCTTCAGCTGCATTTGGTGGATAGTGGCAAGGACAACACTGCACACTGCCTAATGAAGCCATCTTCATTAGTATCTTCCTTTCTCTAGCTGCTACGTGTATCAATCAGACTGGGAATTGAAATCACAAAAAGCAACAGAATTGTATCTGAATAAAAAGACGGGGCGACAGAGGTCTCCATAGCCTTCTTGTGTCTGATTAGACTGTGCACATGTGGCATATTAATAGTACAGGGAGAGTTTAACACATCAAAAACTAGGGCAATAAAGAGACCAGAAAGCTGAAAGACCAATACATCTCTCAGTTTTCATGCCAACAAGCAGGGAGGTCATATTCTGATAACCACTTTTCGTCTGGAAATCACTACAGGGTTAAATGCTTTCCCGTTCCCCAAATTTCTAGCCCTGTCACAGCATCAAGGTTATCTATTATTGGCAGTGACAGGTGAAAATTAATCTCCTAATTATTTCTTGCTGCATAATCTGCACTGAAGAAGTAACATAAAGGGATTACAGTGCACCATCTATGGAAGGCTTTTCTAGAGAACCAATCATATAGTGGGATAGGAGGCAGGTGTTAAAGAGGTATTTGTGAAAGATTTCCAACTATTCCGCAGACAAACTACATTACAGCTTTATTACCTAGAGCTTTGGAGTGAGGATCCACTTGTAGGTGACTTAATGGCACAGTCTTTATTCTGTTGTTGATTACTTAGGGAAGAATAATGATTTGTACATAACGTGTCTTCTGGGCAGGAGGGCGTTGTGTATCAAGTGCTAGAAAACTATTACAGCAAACATAACTAGTCACTGCAGGAGTGTAGTCCAAGTAGAGATTTAATTTTCCCCACAGAAGCACTATGAAATTACCAGCCTTTGGCTGCAAATAACCATCCTTTCTCCCACACCACTTAATACAAGATAAAAATTCTTGTAGCTACTTGGAACTACAATCTAAGTCAATGATGAGATGAGGCTGGTAAAGGTTTGCCAGCCACATTTTCAATAATGCATAAATGATCCTTTGTAACATGCTTTACACAAAAACACAAACTAAACTGTGTGCTTTTAAACGTAAACATTTTTTTAAAAATCTTCACTTTACAAGCTAGACAGGAACATCTTTGACTTCAATGTAAAAATCTCAGTTTTCTTGAAATGATGGAGTTACAGTAAACTCCATCACTTCAACTCACTTTGCACGTGCACAAAAGCAGGTTTTATTTTTAAAAGACCAAATGTTGTATTAAGCTTTAGCCTTTTCAAAGCAGCCTTAAAAGCAGAACAGGGTGGTTTTTTTAGCTTACTTTCTTTGTATTGCAATTTATGCCCTAATAAAAATACTCATATTTAAATAAAGAAACAAACAAACAGCACCTTTTTACAACCATCAAGAAACATTATAATGTAATCTTTTGACTTCTCCACGTTGGTGACACATGACTGTGGTTCTGATTACCATTCCTAAGCATTGTCAAGTTCCTTCTCCAGCTGATAACACTAAGATTTCGAACCTCTCTGATGGTGCTGGTGTACTTCTTGACCTTTCCTACAGGCTTCAGAAACTGCAGTAAGTCCTTCGTGTAACCTCTTAATGTTGAAGCCTGGCACTAATTTGCATCTTTTCAGAAAAACCAAATCCTGTCCCAGCTTGGAAAAGAATGTATTGATACAACAAGCATAACCGCACTAATTTAAGTTTGAATCACCTAACTTAGGACATGATAGGTAGTTTAATTAATTTAATTAATGGAGATATCCCATCTCCTAGAACTGGAAGGGACCTTGAAAGGTCATTGAGTCCAGCCCCCTGCCTTCACTAGCAGGACCAAGTACTGATTTTGCCCCAGATCCCCAAGTGGCCCCCTCAAGGATTGAACTCACAACCCTGGTTTTAGCAGGCCAGTGCTCAAACCACTGAGCTATCCCAGTTCTGAACAGATTGTTGGCACTTTAAAGAAACACAAAATAAAACTATCATAGTATAGTAAAGTTATCAGCTCCTTGAAACTGGGAGCCATGCCTGAATGAAATATTGTACTGTACTTTAATAACCACAAGGTGGCATACAAAATATGAAAAAACATTATCAATAAAGTGTTGTAAGCAGGGTCTGGACTTGAAATAAGGCAACTGCGACTTTATTTCTAGTAAAAATTGTTTAACTACACAAATCACATAATGACCAAAATCACCACTAGGGGTCACTATACTGCCTTCACCGCTTAGAATTAGCAAGGTAACATTGGTGGTTGTTTTTGAAATAAAAATAACACTTTAATGTGTTTTTATCTGCAGGAAAAATACCTGTTACTTTTTTAAAAAACAAGCTATTTAAAAACCTATTGGAATTGCCAGTATGAGTAGAGATGTTAAATTAGCACTCAAATGAAAGGACTTCCCCATTAGCTATAGAGTTCTTCTGATTCTTCATTCTGTTGATCTGCAGATTTAAAAAACTTTAAATCCACATGTAATAGCATATATAACATTGTGATAGTCTAGATTTTCAGGTTCCAAGAGTTAAAAGCTCTATGTAGAATCTGAATATAAACATCTTGAACTGGTGAGAATGGGGAAAGGTAGAAATGAATAATTTCCCTGTTAAAGCAATTGGCAGTGAAACTTTAAAAATATTTAATTATTTTAACAATTATTTTATTCCATGGGTGAAATTCAAGTCTTTGGAGGTCCTGACTACTAGGAGTCTGAAAACACACATCCAGCTAACTAGGCGTATTAAATCAAACAAGATTATGCATACATATGTTTGATTTAAAGATGTATTAAAATTTTGTCCC